GATCGCCCATTTTGATGAATACCTTATTTCGAATAAACCCTTTGAGGACAATCCCAATAATTTTGTATTATATGCAAGCTCAGGTTTCGAATGGCTGGAAGCCATCTCCAGTTCCAATCTTGGTTTCCTCTTGACTGGGGAACAGCTACGAATTTCCATAGCCCTTCGCCTTGGCTGTAATACCGTGGTTCCCTCCATTTGCATCCACTGTGGCCATCCCATCGAATCGAAAGCTTACCATCCCTTGCATTGCAAGTTCTCCTATGGACGACAACCGCGTCATAAATCTATTAACAACATCCTTCTAGCTGCTCTTCAAAAAATTAATACGTCCACCCTCGAACCAGTGGGTCTCTCAAAAGAAAACGCCCCGATGATATCTCTCATTCCTTAAACTAAGTGAAAGTTAAGGCGATTCATTCATTATATTAAAGCGGAGAGGGGAGGAGGTTTAAAAATTTTATGGCAAAATACCTCAACATGGGTGTTAAAATATCCATTTCTCCTTTCGCTGCTACCCCCGCATACTCATAACATTGATAACAGAAAATTCTCCTCTCTGTGGAAATCCTCCCCTTTTATCTATCTTCCAACTCCGTAATCATTTTCCACATGCCCAAATCTTATACATCTTGCGCATTGTAATCTATCTTACCCGGAGAATACGATGTAATATAACCTTTTCCGCATTCAAAATATATAAACAGCAATTCACCTGCAATGTGTCCCCCGACACTATATTTCTGCACCTCTGACTTCAATACTAAACGGTCACGATACTTCTCGACACCCTCAATAAATGACCACCCCTCCTTCATTATCATTTTCATCCTCCCAACATCATCATTATTCACCCATCTTTTCATTATCTCCTGCACCAATCACCACATCACTCTACCTAATCTATCATCCTCTCCATTATATCCCTCCACCAATAAAGACTGCCCACGAATTCAAATACTTCTTACCCCGTATTTTCCTACCAAAATACTATATCAAATCTTTGAATTTATCTTTTATACGTAGTGGTTCAATTAAATTTCAATTCGTTAAACAGTTTTAATGAATGTTTATCTATATATTTAGAATAATAGGGTTTAATTTAGAATTCGCTATATGCATTAAAGAATGCCATGATATGTTTGATAATCATAACCCTTATTTTGGTTATAGAAAGTTGAGCGACATTTTGGTACCGCACAATTAATGTCCATTTCATGATCATGAAAAATTACTTTACAACTTATTATGAAATAAATATATCGAACAATGGCTACTTTAAAATGTTTCTAATTATTCAAATATTCAGCCCAATTTAGGTGAAAGTAATTCTACGATCCTATATGTACATTAGCCAATATATTAATGTTTAGATTAGATACCTATTGGAATTCGTTATTTCAACCAAATTTCTTTATTTTTATATATTTGAGATTTTAAGCGAGATACTAATCGTAGGATTTCCAATGCTGGTCATAGCCGTATTGAGTTATTTTATTGTCGTTGCTCATAGAACCCATTTTATGAACAAGAAAAAAGATGAAAGAAGCTTTTCATACGCATAAAAATATCTTTATAAACAATAGAAATATCAGCAATAATAATATTTACATTTCTAAAAGCCACAGTACAAACTTTAAGATGAGTGCCCAGGAAGATAAGGCAACCTTGATTCAAATAACTAGAGTCATTTAATTAATTATTTGTGAAATTCCTAAGGCAATTATATATTTAATTTTCAAATATTTTTATGTGCGAATCAATCAAAGATTTAAATTGTAATTTTAGATATTATTTAATGTTAAACAGCATTCTGAACTTGGCTAATCATTGCCTCACTATCTACATTTATATAATAATCAACGATGTTTTCAGAAAACTTATGGATATCATTATCCGATAAATAGAAAAAATTGTTAATTGCGCTCAAATATTAAGAATAATATAGGCTGTAACATTTTGAAATGAATTCCAATTGATAAAGAAAGGTTGTTAAAATTAAATTTAATGTAATAAACATGGAATTAAATATATCATTTAATCTAGCATACCTATATTATGTGAAAATTTTGTATTAAAAAACATTCTATCACTTTTTATTTTTAGACCATATTTAAAAAAACACTTTAATTATTTATAATGTTCTCTTGTGGTGTTTAATTATTCCTTAATTTTGCATATAGTTTATATTTGTGTTATATTATAATTCTATAGTATATAATAAAGAGGGATATATTTTTAAAGATAATTAACAGCCATTAAAAATAAATTTACTCTTTTTCTGATTATTATATAACACCACAAGAGCTTCAATCTTTTATCGGTTATAGTTGACTTTAACTGGCTCTTATTAATGTAAATTAAATATTTTTAAGTGCTTGCCATGGTTTCTATTAACATTAGTACAATTAATAAAACCAGCAGATTTTCTCTATTTTCGATTGTAAATAAATTTTGGCAAAGCTTGTGGCCTCATAGTCGTTTAACAATTTTATTTCTTTATAAGCTTCTAATACATATATATTAGATGTAACTCTGCAGTCACTATAATTACTAAATCCTTATATATTTGGGTAAAGTTCCTAATGTCCAATCAATCAAGGAACTAATGATGTGAAATAAATCAATATGCAAACTGTAATACTTAATATTTTTAAATCGATTTTCCAACGATATGTTTGTTACTTATTGTTATATTATAACTGAAAATTAATTAGTAATTAATTTGAATTTAGAAATTACTTACTGATATTGAATCAAATCGCAATAGTAATTGAATTAAAACACGTATTAGAAATTACTTCCCTTTATTGTAATTCATTACACCAAAAATAATAATGTAAATCTTCACAAAAATAACGGAACAGTTTATTCAAAACATAATACCTCTTTAGAATTCAACTAATGTTTTTTCCGGTGTAAGTGGATGCTACAAATGATAATAATAGAACATCAAGAAAACAATACTATTCGAACTAGAATATACAAATTGAACATCTTATTTTACCAGAAGTTGAATAATATATATTAAATTTTGTTTCTTTAGGATAAATCGAAATTCATTAGATATAAACGTTAAATCTCTCAATATCGATAGTAATATTTTAAGACTTACACTAAGGAATTTAAACTTAAATCAGCCACCTACAATCCATAAAATAAAGTAAATAAATTATACTGTAGTTCTCGGATTACCTAGCATAGCTCTGTTGAACCTTCAAGGATAGAGGGCATAAGAGCTATAGATCACATATCAGTAATTTTATTTTATAAAATAATACTAAAAATTACTATTATGACAATATCAATACGCTTTGTATTAGAAAAAATATATATTGTTTGATTGTTTTGTGTGTTTTTAAGACTGCTTTCAAAATGTATTATAATGATCATCAGTAATAAAATTTTCCCATAAAAGAGTAAGAATGGATTTCATATTTAATGAATTGGTTATCTGTATAATATACAATATAAAGATATTCTCTATATTTGTATTAGACCAACTCCTTAATTTAGTTTGAAAAAAATTAAATAAAATGTCGTCATTAAATAAAGATAATATGTATAGCAATTTTCGGCTGAGTTTATATTAAAGATGCTTTCACATCTCCAGCAAAGTTTTTTTTTCCTATATGAATATAGAACTAATTATATAAAAGTTGTTGACATATAAATTTGTCATCAAATTTATGAGATAAAGATTATCTTTAAATTATTCCTCACTGCATGATAAATTGGCGATGATATAATTCTTGTATATTTGATAGAAAAATATTCTCTATAAAGCTATAAAGTACAATGGACTCTTCATACTTGTTTCTGAACAGAAGATCCTTTTATTTTTGGGAAGAAAATCTAAAAGCAATTATTAACATAAAGCTAGCTTACACCTATTTTCAAAAATATTAAAAATTACAAATAGTATACATGTATTTTTTTTGAATGATTTTCTTCCTTTTAACTTATTTTTCAGTTTCATTATTATTGTTACCGTGATCAAATTTTATGAGATTTTAAAACTTTTAGAAAATACTAATATTATTTAAACTGGACTCTTCAAAATTTCTAGACATATCTCTGGGCTTAATTAACTTTCATTTGATCTAATATCCTAATAAACTTTTATCGCTTCTAGGCTGATAAATAATTCTGATACTGGCTTTATTCCCAACCGATTTATAAGATTGTGTAAAATAAATGAATCTTTCTTTTTTGAAAACACGTTATTTATATATATTAATTTTCTTAAGGATTTTGTTTCCATGTTGCTTTTTGAAAAAATGTGCCACTTTTTATTTTTAAAAACTATTTTTGAAGCACTCATTTATTTCACAATTTACGTTATATTTTTTTATCATTCATTGTTAACTATATACTTTTAAATTATATTAGAGGCCGGGCCCGGCTTAAATAGTTTTTACCAGAGCCAGACAATTAAATCAACATTATCTATAAAAATTAAAAATAAATAGAATATATTTCATAAATACGCTTTCAATTAATGATTTAAATGCAAAAAAATATAAAAATTTACTTACATTTTTAACTGTAAAAATAATATTTTATAAATAAAAAATATTAATGCCTTGACTCATGCAAAATTTTAAAAAATATCAATTTTATTCACAAAATTAAATTTTATTCACAAAATTAAATTTTATTCACAAAATTAAATTTTATATTTAAAAATAAGCCTAACCTAACATGGCCCGATTTTTTTTAGAAATTACTAAGTACGACCCAAATTTTCAAAAAATAGACCTGGTCCAAAGCTCGTTCAAGCCTTACATATATTTAATTCTCATTATATATTTAGCATTGATCCAACAATCTATTCGCCTACGAATATAATAGATAATTATAAAATTTAAATATAGATATTATAAATAATTTTGATTTCAAAATATTCTACTAAATATTCAAACAAAGGTGATTGAATATTAGCTGATATAAATATTAGTTTTGAGCGTTTGCGATTCAAAATGAATAAATAAAATCGCGACATAACGATAAAATTGCGCCAATTCGAAATTCATTATTTGCGATTAATGTAAGCGTCAAAATCGCGCAATTTGAACGCACTATAACTATAGGAATTGATAAATATAATATGACGGATGTGAAAATCTTAAAAATCAATATCACATCTATATAAGTAGGGTCGCGCGAACTAGCAAATTTAACCATTTATAATTAGATAAAATCGCAAAAAAATATTGTATAAGAATCTTATTGTATAATAATCAGAAAGTAGCAAATTTAATGATACAAATGATAAATTTTGATCTTATCAAGTAATAGAACTTATATAAAAAAATTATTCTGAGTATGTTTGAAGGAATGAATAATATTTTTTTCCTCAATTTATATCGGTAACTCGTTGTGACATAATTTGGGAGACAGTGTAATCGTAAAATTCGTCACGGATTCTTGAAAATTCCATTATATCTCTGGGCTCGCGGGAAATCCAGAAGTGGTGAAAGGAGAGTAACAAATACGCTTTAAATAAGAAAAAAAGTTTTAAATTATAATACCACCCACTAATAATGATAATTAAACAATAATTTAGATTTAACATTTTTTTAAAATAATAAATGTGCTTATTATATGAAAATAACTATTTTTTAGATTTAGAGTTGTAAAAAGATTTAAAGAATAACATTAGCATCAAGAAATTCCATAAATATAAATGCAATCTTAGCAATCTATTCATTAGAAAATCAAAAATTTATAACATATGGGGATTTTTTTTTACAAATATAAGGCTTGATGTGGGATATGGGTGATATGTCTATAATACTGAAAGAGTGAGATATGATTAAAAACATTTTTTTACTAAGTTATTTATTGTGCATTAACTAAATTATCGTAAATACTAATTATGAAAAATGAAAAGGAGAGAGATATCTTTACAATATATCTTGTGAAATTCTATGAGATCTATGTTGCAAAGGGTTTTATGCTTCTTGTCAAAATAAGTAGGGCATTGGATTTCCTCGCTTATCATTTCAGTACCCTCACCTACATCATGGTTATAAAAGGTTAAGGATCGTTGGTCCAAAGAATCTTCGAAGTGGCAATCGTAAAAGTAATATTTTAAAGTGCCATCTATGAACAAATCCCTAGTCATGGATGTCAAATTGATTCCGACTATTGCTAATGGATAACTTTTATCATTATTTTTTTAAAAGTTAATTTGTTAAATAAATAATTGTTTAGAGTAGGGATGCAACGATATTTTTATCGGATCGGGACGATATTTCACCCATTTTAAAATATCGGTTATTGGTCAATATTATAAAATATTCCGACCCAATCTTATATAAATGGCGTCTTTACCAAAAATAAAATGTTATAAATTTTTTTTTAAAAAGTTATATCTAAAATCATTTATTTTTAAAAATAAAATCGAAATCCATTTTTATGTATGTTTTTTTAATAATAATAATTAATTAATAAACATTCTGCCATATTGTAATTTTTTTTGGGCATTCTGTTTATAAAAAGTGTGCGATAATCTCTTCAGAATCTGTTTTTAGTGAAGCTGGTGATATTGACAGTTACCATCGTCGCAGGCTGACCTGATATGGAAATTTTGGTATTTCTAAATAAAAATCTTCGATATATTAATGTTAAATATTATTTTAAATATTTTTTCAAATTTCATAATATATTTGTTTATTACTTATTATGTATATAGATTAATGTTATTACTTATTATATAAAAGTGATCTAACAATGAAAATATTTTATATACTCTTAGAATTGTTATTGAATTGAATATAAACTATAATTGATCTATAATATATTTAAATGACATAAGTTATGGTATAGTTAAATTATAGATGCTATACTAATAAAAAGTATATTAAAAATTAAAACCAATGGTATCTTTACAGAATACAAAATTAGATGTTATAGGATCGGTAATCGGCCGATATCAATTTAATACCGGGAATCGGCCTCCAAAAAGTGGTATAGGTACACCCTTAGTTTCGAGTTAGTTTTATTAAATGCCTTGATTTAAAGCCGATTTTAAAAAAAGGCTAACTCATTATTTTAGTCAGAAAAATATAGCCTAAACCTCGAGTTTTCGCCAATAAATGCCTTAATCTTTGTGCCATCTATGAGCAAAATCTTCAGGTTTGAAAAATATTTTTCCCAACAGAATATTAAGTTAGCTATATTTTAAAAATAGGCTTAAATCGAGTTTTAAACAACACTAGCTTAGAGTGTTTCCACTAAAATATTTATAATATCATACAGGCAAAGATACTATGGTTTTTAATTTTAGCGATACATTGGCCCAACCCGTAAAAATTTTGCTATTCAAAAATTTTATATTTTGTACTAAAAAATAATCCAAAAATGATTTAAATTACAAAAATATAAATTGGTGATGTTGGCATGATTTATGCAATTGTAAATTAAGATTTTAGTCAAAATAATGTTGTGCAAGCGTCGAGATTTCGTGAATAGTTGTCCATGCCATCCTGCCATCTACGAGTAAAATCTCCAGGCTTGCATAATATTTTTTTGGTTAAAATATAGGGGTAGCCGTTTTTAAAGATCGAATCGTTGAACAAAACATAATATACAAATAACCATTTTAAAACTACTCATGTTTTTTGGGAACTTGCACTCCCATATCCGTTTTAATAGTATGAGTTTTTATAATATAATATTATAGTCCGATTGGAATATGTTTATATATATTATAAATAAATAAAAAATTTTATTATTAAAAAAACAATACAAGTTAGCACAACGACAGCTAACAAGACTGAAAATAATTGATGCTACAAAAAATTTTGAATTTATAATGGGATAATATCATAACTTTTAATTTTTATTTACTGATATTATTTATAGTATTTAGATATCTCTTATACAAAAGATAAGCATATAACTAATATAATCAGAGTATTAACTTAAATTAAAAAAAATATAACAAAATTAAATGCCTAAGCTGGCCATCAAGTTTTAGAAAAAATTAGTATTTGCAAGGCACTCAAGATTTTTAAGTATAAATTGTCCAGCCCAGCCTAAAAAAAATTATGTACAAATTGCCTGAGCAGATATAACATTCTTAAATTGCCTTGGCCCACAAGCTGGGATTTTTAGAAGTCTAATTTAAATATAATATAAATTATGTGACCAATATGACTTTTTTGGAGGCTGATCTGATATCATATGTGATTTTGTATTCTGTAAACATACTAATCGTTTTAATTTTTAATGAATACATCAAGTGTGGCAAAATCACTTCATTTGAGCTGATTTTTAAAAATGGCATAAGTGGAGCTATTTTGAGTCTCTACATACATCTATCATCTTATACTTTTTTTAATAGTATAAAACCTATAATTTAACTATACCATAACATAATAATGCTTAGTTATGTTTTTTATAAATCTACTAAAAGAAAATATTTTTATTGATAAATCATTTATTTATATAATAACAATAATCCATTTGAATAATAAATAAACAAATATATTATGAAATTTGAGGAAATCTTTTAAAAAATTAAGATGCCATTTTATCATATTGGGAAATTTATAATATAGGCCAATAACCGATTTAAAAGGGTGAAATATTGGCCAAATCCAATATAAAATACCTGTACATCCCTAATATAAATATGTATAGTGATTTAATAATTCAATGGTTTATCAGAAATACTATGTATGATAAAAGGATGGATTTTTCTCTTATATTTTCACAAGATGAATCCATATAAAGTATTTGTTGAGTAATTTGAGTTAAGCAAAGTGTACAAATAAACATTGAGACCAATATCTTCTTACCATTTAAACTGCTTTAAAATTAGATTTGTAAAAAATATTTAACTATTCAAATATTTAATTTGTTTTGAACCTAAGATCAAAAATAAAACTCTTTAAAAATAAAAAGTCAAATATATTGATAGTATTATTGTGTATTAGGTTTATATCTTTATACCTATAATTTTGAGGTTTTAAACAGTACTGAACAATTTGTTGAGCTTGAGTACCATGGAATTCAGAAAAAAATCTTTAAATTATTTTTTCATAATCAAATATCATAATTTAAATTAAAGTATGCACTTTATTTACAGAGTTATTAATATCATAAGCATTTAAAAATATGAGAAATTATTTACAAAATTTCATTTGTTAACAAATATTTATCTTATTTTTTACAAAAGATTCATTAAGCCTAAAATTCCCATTCCTCTAAAATCTGTTGAAGGATTTTCACCTTGAAATCCAATGTCCATCCAATGTGATCCTCTAAACCCAGGGTAATCTTTGCTACCATTTGAACACATAAGATTTGTCCATAACTAAAATTTCACAATTTCAAACTTCATATATTAAATTACTTGTTTTAGCATATTTTGATGTATTATATTATTTTCTGCAAAAGGTATCCTTCTAACCATTTCAATTTCCTTGCAAATATCTTTATAAGCCATAATTTTATCTAAACTTATCATGCAATATCTGTAAAAAAGATCTGGAGAGTATATATGCAGTGAAATATTTTTGGATGCCAAATATTTTTCTATAGTTTTAATAGAGGTAACTGAGCTAGAGTTATATGAAATAATTTCTTTATGATTAGTTGACATTTCCATACTATATTCTAGATAAAGGATATGTATATATATTATACAAGGTAAATATGGCTAACCTAAGTTATGTATTGTGTCATAAGATTTAATACAGGACTGTCTTGAATTGAGCAAAAATATCCTTTCAACTTCTGTTAATTCTGTAAATTTATGTATTATCCATTTCCACAATCTTCTAAACATAATGTTGATACGGCAAGCATAAAAAATTTTTTTTTAAAAAAATATGCTTGTATCGAAAATGTATTATTTATAGATGGCATTATATCAGAAAAAAATTTGGTCGATATTTTACTTTAGAATAAGTAAGCATAGAAATTACCAAGTATAAATAAATATCAAATTTGAAAATCATGTTAGCAAGTGCTAAAGGTTAGGCAGATGACTTTCGTTTAAACTCTTAGTTTTATTTCTATAGAACAATTTAGGATCTTAATAAATATCCATAGTAAATCACTTTTTCGTTCCTAAATGTGTTACGAATGTGTTATTTATTACGAATGTGTTTATTCTCATGACTGCTTTTAATCAATGAATTTACATTTTATTAAAGGCAATTACTTTTATTTCTTGTTTTATTTTATTACTTCACTTTAGAGAAAATACTATATATATATATCATCATATTATGATGTGATGAAACACTATATATATTATATTTTTGTATCGAATTTTTTAAAATATATAGGAAATTTATTATACCTTATCCCAATCTTGTAAAATCAAAATGGTGACGCATACTCAACTTTAATGGGAAATGGCTTTAGGTAGTTTTTATCCCATGAATTCTAATATTTAGCTCTACTTTTTTTTTATTTTGAAATAATTAGCTTTATACTTTTTAAAAATATTTTTTTCCCTCCTTTGCCTATTATGTCCAAAGTGTATTTATTTATTGAGAAGGCGGGGGGGGGGGGGGTTATTAAGAAATTTAGTGATTATTATTTATAATATTTCTTGTATGAAAATTCAAAAGCACACCAAAGCCTGCGATCTCAGGCCCATAAATATTACAAAATTCGAGGCTTTAAAATGAGGCGCTATCTAGCCTATTAGTTTAAATAAGAAAGTTTAACCCTCATCCATTATAATAATGGTATTTCCTTGGCATGGGAACACAGGTTTTGACATATTTCCGAAATAAAATTTGGCCCAAGGATGTCGTAGATAATAAAATTAGCAAATAAATATTTCGCTTTTATTGCTTACAAATAGAGCGTATGCTATTTACATGATTTCAACGCTAGCTATTTACACGGTTTAACTTTGTTTTCAAACAAACTATTACTATGAGAGCCCAAAATACGTAAACATTTTTTTAAAATATTTTGTTCTCATTTGATTCATACATTATAAAAAAATATTAAAAAAATGTCATTCCCCTTTTTATTATTCTTTTGGACAAATTTTCATTTTAAATTAAAATGAGTATTTATTAAAATAAAATTTTTTATTTAATAAAAATCAGATGAATATCTATAAAGTTACTTAAAAAATGCTTGAAATAATTTTGTTCATTAATGGTATTGCAAAATATATTATAATACGATATAATCTATATTTTTTTAATAAAAAAAATATCTCTAAACATGTTTTTGAATATAAATAAAGTTGTGATTTTTTTTTAGAAATTAATATTCAAATATCTTAATTTTTTATGTGGATATTTAGATTAATAGGGTTTAGAAAGAAATTAAGAATCCAATTCATTTAATGAAAAAGGTTTAAAAGAATGGCTTTAAGTAAATCTCTTTTCTAAAAATACCATTATTGTCTCATTTTGAAATAATAAAGGAAAATTTGTTCATAAATATTTTTTAAAAACATAAATATCATATTTGGAACTTGGAAGGAACATATTTTATTGATATGTTTACTTGTTATAAATAATTTTATATTTTTAAAATGAATGATTAAAAGGAATTTGTTCGAATGGATGGTAAAAATAGGAGGAATAATATTTTTTAAATATTTTTTCTATAATGTTGCAATTGACTGGGAGAAAAAAAATAAAAATTGACATACTATCTTTAATTCAGGTTGCATGTTGTGCAATTGGAAAAAAATGAGAATAAGTTTCATTTTAATTAGCAATAACCAATAAACATTTATGGAAATTTGGATGAAATGTTTGGACTTATGTAAGCCACTTATATCTTTCATATTCAAATTTTGTAAAGTTTCGATAATTAATTGTTTCTTATCAAAATTTCTTGAATTAAAGGATGTTTTTACTAATATTTTGCAATTAAACGTCTAAATTTTTATTGTCTTTACAAAAATCGATGGAGGTTTCTTTAAAAAAAAATACAAAATTTTAAGAATAATATTTTTCTTAGCTTCCCCCAACGCTTAATTTTCAAATGTACCATTACACAACATTTGGTTCCTCTATGTTTACTTTAAGGATGTGTCAGCCCGATTTGAAAATATTTAAAAACTGTCTAAATTAGATTTTAGCCAAAATAAAATTATGCAAGCCTCGATATTTGATGAATAGAACCTTGCAGCCAACTATGATCAAAATCTCAAGGCTTGAATAATATTATTTTGGCTTAAATCTTAACGGGCCATTTTTAAAAAAACTGATCCAAATGAGCTTTTAAGAACACTAGTGTTCCATAACATCAAATATATTTATTTCATTAACTATCATCAAAAACTTCAAAATTAGCTATCATAAATATTTATTGTAATTAAAATATTTCTTTTATTTTTAAAAAAAAAAAATAAGCAATGTTAACTTTGCTTCCCGATAATTTTTTAACGCAGTGAAAAATAGTTTAATTTTTTTAAATTTAGTAAAAGCAGTTATAGTATTAATTTATTTAACATAATATTCCAGTAATAATTATAATTTTTAAAATAAAAATTAAAGAAAATAAAGCTTCCCTATTTTTATGGACGCTTCCTCGCTGATGTATACTAAATCTACCTTAAAAATCTAAATGTAGAACATGTATCTTTCTTGTATCCGATAATCTTATTATTAAAATTTATCTCCCCCTTTAAGTTCAATATTTTAAGTTTAATACCATAGTAATTTAAATATTTATTCATAAAATAAAACTAACATAATAATCTGTAATTAATGGTAAATAATCCAAAATGCAAAATTGTGAAAAATTAATTATATTTATAAGCATTTATTTTTCAAGCATAAACTCATAAATTAAGGAGCTAAAATAACATTCATGTTTTGTAAAATAATCTTTAAACCTCAATTATCTAAATTAACTTAACATTGCACTCTTAAACTAATTTTTATTTTTTTATCCAGCTTACTGAATGAAAATGGATATAATTACAGATCAGATGTTCTGAAATTAAATTTTATTGCTTTTAGAATGAAAGTTTTTTAACCGAATAATTTCCCATTTAAAAATTAATTTCCAGCTATAATAAAAATTTAAAATTACTATATCATGACAAAATAAAAAAACTTATTTTAAGGAAGGTTATTTGATATCATGAAATATAGATGAGAGGAATTGAAGTTAAAAATAACCTTCTTATTGTTGTTAAACAGGTCGATTTTTAAAAACGGCTTTATTAAGATTTTAGCTAAAACAATATTATGTAAGCCTCGAGATTTGGCAGAGGTCAAAACCTTTCTCCCAACGAGAAAAATTTCAAGAGTTACATAATAACAACATTACTTTAGATGTTTGATTTGTTATTGATAAAAATATAAAACATAAGACATACTGATATTTGGTGTAGGCGCATTTCTGATTAAATTAGTAACATCTTTCATGACGACCCGAATTACTTTTACCTTCGCCATTATACAGCTTTAGAAAGACTTTGATCAATTTTTTTTATATCATTTCCATTAAAAATTACATTAATCATTTCGGTAGCCATTTTTTTTAGAATATTTATAAGTCATCTTTATCATTATTATGGTATGAAAACGCCTATTACCCTATAATAAATTTATTTTATCTTACTTTGAGTTATTTAATGCACCTCTATTTTTTTTAAAACTGGCTTTAAAATATTTTACATAAAAAAATGTTTATCAAGGCAAGTCCTTAGTTTTTTTACTTTTAAAAAATATGATTATTTTCTTATTGAATGGATTAAACTTTCTACTACAATGACATACAGTACTTTATCTCAAAGCGTCGTTCAATAATATAATCAGCTCCCTCCACCAATTTTTTTTATATTTCATACCCTAGTATCTACAGGAAAACCCCGGTCATTCGCCATTTCCATGAGAGTAGGTACATATCACGGGAAATGGGTGAAGGAAGATATCCCACTACATTTCTGTAGAAACGGGATTAATTATACAATAAAATCGCGAGAAAACTCGCATTTATTTTTTTTATAAATAGGAATAATTATTTTAACATGATTTTTCTTATAAAAACCTCGTCTAGGTCTAAAATATTTTGTGATATTTTAGCTGAAAACCAAATTGTTAAATAAAATTAGGTTTGAAAAGGTAATAAATATTTTGCCTTGACCAAAATAACTTGATACCAAATTTTGGAATCCTTTTTTTTAAAAAAATTTTCAAGGAACCGGTTCTAACAAAAGTGCGAGTAATTAATATATATATAATTGGATGAATTTTTATTGTTTAAATTTGCTCTAGTATGTGTCCTAAAATTGGTTTAAAAATTCGCAAAAATAAAAATTCAGAAGTTTTTAAATATTGATCTAATCTTATAAATTCTAATTTCCTAGGAACTATGGTGTTTTAAAAATAGCTTATTTCTTTTTTGTTAATGTTTCTAAAGTTTACGAGTCTAAGATATTTTTTTAAATAAATTTTCGAGAAGGAATGGATTTTATGAATATATCTACTTCTTATCCCTCAACCCCATTTAATGGCAGTTTTCCAGGTTTGCACGGGTGTCATTTCCCTAAAATAAATCATATATTTTTTTTATTCCAATATTATAAAATTTAATAATTTTTTATACATTAATTTACAATTTTTTTTTTTAAAAAGGGGGAATGTGTATAGATTGCACTTTACAAATATTTAGAGTATTTTAAAGGTAACTTAAGAGAATGGTCATTTGTATAAATAAATATAAATCATATAAATAATCATTTGAAATAAATATATAATAAATAAGCGAGCAGCAATTGACATATTGATTCGCAAAAAAAAGCATAATAAATACATATAGATTCATCTTAAATATACGTAAAAGTTTTTTTAAAAAAAATAATTCATAATATTACTTAATATTGAGACTAGATAAAATAATTATATAATAAATTATACAATTTCGGGATCAATTTTAAAGTCCAAAGATATAAGAAATGAAAAAGATATTAGGGTAATATGATGGTTGGGAAAAAATTTTTAACGTTAGAAATCTCAAAATAATTTTTAATCTAAGTAACTAAGTTTTATTTTTAAAGGAACATATGGTAAGTAAAATTTTCGGTTAAAGCTGGATAGATGAGTAATAATGTAAGGAATGCTAAAATTGCGAGATAAAAATAGCTGAGAGTTACCGTATTCTCTTGGATTTTATTTTTTTCCCGTGAATATCCTTGGACTGTCGCAAGTTTCTTTTTTTTAACATAAAATACATATTTTTTAATCAAATCGAACGCAAAAAACGAATAATAAAGTATTTTATACTCACTTTGGATTAACATTATCCTCTTCCGTGTCTTGGCATCTAAAAACGGCGGGCAAATTTTTGTTTTTATCATTATTTTTCCTGGTTTTTTCTTTAAAAAGGTATATTGATTTTATATTTTGGAAAATCATAATTAAGTTTTTAAAATAATTGTTTTAAAAAATATTTTCAAATATCCAGAAAAACAAAATACGCAATAACTCATGTGAAAAATCCAGAACTTTGGTCCATTCCAGCTTTTAGAAAGGGGTAGATATGTTGATTTTACTATCTATTTACAGTTTATTGATTTGATTTGTAATAATATAGAAAAATTCTTTTCTTAAAACAAATGGCATATTTTTGAGTCTAATCGATGTAGGAGAATGTTAATATAATGTGAGTCCAAATGTTAACCATATTACTAGTGATTATACTAACAGAGATAAATAAAGGTGAACCAATTACTCAACTAACAGAAATTTATGCCAGTATATAAGGACATTATTCAAATTAAGATGAAAAGATAATAGAAATCTATATTTCAAAAAAAAACCAAACATAATGTTTTAGAATGATGTATTCAGTCACGACGGATGTCAATTTTTATTCAATTCTATTATTTAATGGATGATTAGACATATCCGCTTTTATTGCTGATAAGTTGGCATGGCAGACAATAGCCGATATTCTAGGCTTAGATCCTCTGGTACTTTCTTAAATTTTATACCTTTAAAAGATGTAATATATTTTACGTATAAAGTGCATGTAATTGATATATACATACCATCTCCAATAGAATTAGACATAGCCATGAGTAATTTCACGTCCACGATATGGGTATTATTAGGTTTGTTTTCGATAGAGCGTTTTTCCGTTGCGCCGTTCTCCTCTTGATTAGCTAAATGTGTAGAAGAATCATGATATTTTAGAGCAAAAAAGTTTTTTCATTGTCAAAAGAAAAAAAACGAAATAAAGCAGGAAAATAATTACCCCCCTTCCCCGATGGTATCAAAGTTCTGTAAATATAGCTCTTCTGAAATCATATATTTAATTTGTCAAATTCAAACCTAGGTCTATAAAAAATTAATTATGAGATTGAGGATTGACTCATACAAAATGGTGGTCATTGCTAAATTTGAGCTAGGTATGCTTGAATTTTATTAATCATATTTGAGGTTAAATGAAATAGTTTTAATTGTTATTTATAACACTGCTATAAAAGGAAATATTGTAGTGGGTTAAATATATCAGTCAACAATTCGGAAATATAACTTTTAAGTTTTAAATAGCTGTTATAATTTAAATTTAAAAAAAAGGAGTTATATTATACTATATAGAACTTACGGTGATTGATGTCGTTGACAGGCTTCTCTAAACGAACTGGGTCGGGGCGGATAAGCCCGCTTAAAGGAGAAGAAATGGGGAACGTATTGAAGGGCTATATATATTTATATAATAGAATACTAATTATAAATCTCATTCTCTCTTGTCTTTCTTTCGTAATAATTTTACAATTCTACTACTATATAGATGATATGTAATTTTAATGTATACAATACAATATATACCAAATATTTTTCACGATTTTCGATCGACATCTGGCCTTTGCCTCTTATCACTCTGGCTAATTCTCTTCTGACTATGGAATTGGGCAATACTGATTTGTAATGATAACCGCGAGATGAAAGTGGTCTTTTAATGATGCCTTCATCGTCGTATCGTCTGCGAAATAAGAATTTATTTTTATTTTCAAAGTAAATTGTAGTTCGTAGAAAATAAAAGTATTAAACGTCAGGTCAACTATTTATTATCATATTTTATTTAAAAATTTTGAATATTAAACAACTGCGAAATATCATAACTTGAAGAAGATAAAAAAAATATAGATATTTACAACAATCTCTTGTTAATGTCCGAAAAGAAGGAAAGGCTCATAACATCGTCCATAAACTCTTTGTTCTTAGAGAGAGAATTATTTTCGAGATTTTTAGGGTCGAGGCTTTTATCGTCAACGAGAAGCCATTCCTCCCTGTTTTCGTCGTAGATAGAAAATTTGAGGAACCTAACTTTGATCTGCGGTGGAACAAAATTTTCGATAACCATCAACCTTAAAAAAAATTAAATTGAAAATTTAGAAATGAGAGGATATGACAAATAAAAGAAGAGATATAAAATATAAATATATACCTAAATTTGGATTCCTTCACGATTTCCTTTTGTTGTCGGATCAAGTCTTGCATCTCTTTATCGTTCATTTCTTTGAGGTCTTTCCTTTCGCTATTCAAACTTTGCAGTTTGTTGAATAACTATTTAAAATGATGATTATGTTAAGTGTCAAATGTTATTTTTTCAATTTTAAATCATTCATTAGGCGCTTTTTAAATTCTTTAACCTGATTTTTTTTACTGAAAAAATGTATGTTTAGGATACCTACCCTATGAACTTCAGACAATTTTATTTTTAATATGAAAAAAAAACGAACATTTAAGTTTAAAAGTTCGTAGTAAATTTTTTCTAAATATCAACGTAGGTTTTCTACAAATGCTAGAATATATTTCCAGCAAAAATCATATATTTTTTAAATTTTGAGGCGTGCGCAAAGAATTAATGTTAAAAAAATAAATAAATAACACCTTGAAAAATAATTTAAGTTTTTGCCTAAAATTTTGAGCAAAAAATCTTTGAAGACCGCAAAATTAAAGTCTTTTAGATCAAAAATTATTTTTTTTTAAAAAAAAATTTGCGATTATCACCGTGAAAGATCTAAAACTCTGTGCATATACATATATAAAAATTAATTAATTTAATGGTATTTCAAGCTTTATTATACAAAATTTTTCTTATAAATTTGCTAAATATTTTTTACAAATTAGGTTATGTTTTTTTAGAATAAAAAAAATGGCTTCAGAAAACCGTTCTAATTTGATTGTTTTTTTTTGGAAAACATTTTCAGAAAAAGGGAGAAGGAAAAGTAAAATTAATATAATAACAATAAAATTTAAAACTTTTTTCAATTTTTTGGTCTTTATCTCGATTTCTTGCTGGAGAGATTGAAAAGTTTCTTTCGTTTCGAGCGTGTTTTCTTCGGCCGCTTCGAGTTGTTGCAAAATCTCTCTTTCTCTCCTCTAAATTGTTAAAAGGTAAAAAAAAATGAGGAAATTATATATTTTGGTTTTCTTTTTATATATTTCTTTAGCTAATAATTTGTTTTTTTCTATTAATTTTTAGTTTTAAAATTTATTTAAAAATATATGGTGTTATTTTATTTATTAGAAGGTAATAAAATTTCCCAAAAGTCACCTCTTCTACAAATAGGAATATCATGATCAACAAATGGATTCATCCCAAAATTTGATCTGAAAAGTTTTAACTTCTTATTTAGTATTCGGCCAAAAGCTAAAATTATGTTGATTAGTTTAGAATCTCAGAAAAAATGCTCCTAGTTCCAATTTCTAGGAAATTTAAAGAAGGGCTTAGAAGTTCTAATTTCATTTTTTTTAATATCTGTCCCGGTTTTTGAGAGTTTTAGTTTCAAACATTAGTTTTGTTGAAAGAATTTTCAGATAGAATTCTTTCTTTCATTCTTGGAAAGGTGTAAACTACATAAAGCGGTCAAGAAAATTAGGTGCCCAAGAGGAGATTATAAAAGGTTTTCACCAATAACATGGAATATAAAAAAAATTAATACCTTTTCCTCGGCAATTTGTTTGCGTTTTTCGGCCAAATCCTTATCTTGCTGAGAAAGAGGATTTTTTATGATGTCCAAGTTTGCGCCGAGTAATTTACTTTCGATTTCCTTTTTATAATGAATTTTCAAAAAAAATATATATATCAAGCAGATAAAATCGTCGCTGCCTTTAACTCGTTCCTCCCTTCTTTCTTTCTTTTTTTTCTTCTTTCTTTCCTTCCTTCCTTCTTTCTTTCCTTTCTTTCTTATAATATTTAATTTTTTTTAATTGTATAAAAAACAAACTTTAATTCTTTCGATCAATTTAGCTTGAGCCATTTCCTCTTCGTACAAGGCATTCTCTCTTTCCTCCAGCCGAGTTAATAATTTTTCCTTCTCCTAAATATAAAATAATTCTGGTAATCATAAGCATTATATAAAAATTGATACATTCTTTAAATTTGATATTTAAGTAAATGCATATCCTGTTCTTTTAAATTAATAAAATTTTAAATTGGTTATAATTTCAAAATTAGATCAGGCGCATATTGTATATATCTTAGAGATGAACTGATAGGCAGGTGTCCTATTTATTTATTTTTTTCCCAAAAATTGGTTCTGAATAGTAATCTTTAGAATAACCATATTTAAGCGTATTTTAAATATTTCCATTGCCTTATTATCAAAATATATATTTGTTTGTTTTTAATGATGTCCAAGCTTCTTTTCTGAATGAACAAAGTATAAATCGAGATAGGACACGATCATAGTACCTTATAAGTCGATACAAATACTTTCACTGTTGATACCAAACCGATACAAATACCAAAAAATAATTATTATTATAATTTGGTGTTAATTGGCAAAAAATAAAATTTATTAATATAATAAATTTTTTATTATGATGAATATTACTAAATTTTATCCTTTCGGAAATAATAGTTAGATAAAGTTTTTTATAAAATTCGTGACTTAATATAGGTTAAAAAAAAAATTTTCATTCCTAAATTTATGATGGTTAATTATCATTTTGGATATTGGTGTATCCAATACCATGAATATCGATTAAAAGTATCTACGCATTTCTGGTAAAATATGTAACGATAACATTTAGATGTTGATAAGAAATCCCTTTATTCTGGGTAAGAGTGGCTATGTAGAAAGAATAAAGGGTTGAAGTTTAAAATCTAATAAGATATTAAATTTTTTAAAAAACCTCCTTAATCATATTATGGTCATTGATGACGTCCATTCTCTCTCGTTCCAGCATTTTCATTCTCTCTGCCATTCGAGATTCGTCGGTGGGGTCAGAAGAGGAGCTAATTGGTGGGGAGAATAATTCCGTATTCGCTAGTTGGTGACCTTGAAAAAAAATGAATAATCACTGATAAAAGAAAAAGGGGGAAAGGGGGGGGGGGTAGTAACTCGTCATCATCACTGATTACTCTATCTACTAAACTATGAAATCTTATGAATATACTAAGTATAAAAAATAAAATGGCCTTTAAGGAAAAAGTAGTTGAAAAACGTTTTAGAGGAAAAAAGAAGAGTTTTGAATGAAGTGATCGAGGAAAAAAAAAGTTTTCAGAATGACAATCGGTAAATGAAGTGATGTGGATTAAAATATCGAAAAAATAATAATACATGATATAAATATTAATTTTTATGATAGATGGCTTCATACGTGAGAATAGAAAACAAAATAATAAAGATTGAAGTGAAAGAAATTGATGGATCTAAAGAGTCAAGAAAATTGGGCTAATTCAGCGAGAGGAGGGTAATAGGATGTATCAAGAGACATGATAGACAAGAAAGAGCACGAGGAATAGATAAACGAAGAGATAGGGCACCATACTGGCAGGTGAGACAGAGAAGATGTTAGGCTTGTGGAGGAGCACATTTAATGAGAAATTATACCGAAGTGACATTAGCAATAACAAAAGAATCGAAAGGGACAAGGCATGAAGAAACAAGAAAAGGAAATGCAGGAACATAACGAAGAAACGGAAAAGATCGAGGATGAAGGAGTAAGGGAAAGGGTGTCGAGAGTATCGTTAAAAAGTTTTAATATGCAAAATTTTATTTAGTTAAAATTAATAGATAATGTTAAAATAGAAGGTTGTTGCAAATTATAAAGAATATATTATATTATAGCCACATATAATTAAAACTACGAATCAATTAAATTATTCATTGTTAACTTTTCACTTTAATATTATATGTAAATTTGAATGTTAAAAAGTTAGTATAAATGGAATATGTAACATTATTATAATCAATTATTAACTTTTCACGTTTGAAATAAATTAAATAAAATCTTTTAGATTCTTAATTGACAACCTGTATGATAATATAGTGATAAACCAGTGACATATTATATTTATATAGCCTTACGATTCATATCAAACAGCTGGTGGCACGGCATTTTCGTTCTCGGTATAAAAAAATATATAAGAAACAAAAATGGTGTGCCACCAGGTGATTTTTATTCTAAGACGTTTCAAAATGTATTTTAATAAATGAATCGTAAGTCTATGTAAATATAATATGTCGTTGGTTTAGACGGATGCAGCGTAATCATGTGACAAATATAATTTAATTTAGATTTTAAAGAAAACCTTTTTTCTTTTTCTTCTTGAAGCTATCTCGAACTTTGTCGGCTAAGATTTTTTTCAACCTATTTTTATTATCGTTTATAAATACGTGAAGAAAATGTGAGAAAAAATTTAAAAAAAAAATAAATATAGAAAAAAACGAGAAGATAAAACAAAAGAAAAATGTATTTATTTTTTTTTAAAAAAAATAAATGAATTTCCTATTTGTGCCTTTATAGCCTCTTGAAGCATCCTCTGAGGCTTGCAATAGTCAGAGATTTAACCTGCTTACCCATGGATTTAAAAAAAAAATTCAAAAAAAATAGATACAAATGGATTCGTGAGTTCATAGCCTCTAAAAGCTCTCTTCAAGGTCAGCAATGAGCAGATTTTTAATACGATCACCCATGGATTTTTTTTAAAAAAGGAATAATTTATTATTTGTAAAAAATTAGCAACGGGTAGGTTCTTAATCCGGTCTTCAGCCCGGCTATTTTTTTTAAAAAAAAATTCAAAAAAATTTATATGAACTTCTTATTAAAGTCATTAAAGCCTCTAAAGGCTCCCCCTAAAAATCTGCAATGGGCAGGTTCTTAACCCGATCGCTCGTCCATGCATAGTTGCAAAAAAATTATAAATGAATTTCCTATATGTCTTTCTTGAAGCTTTTTCTAAAGATCTGCAGTGAGTAGTATTTAAACTCACCACCCATGGTAAAACAAAATAAAACAGAATATAAGAATTTATATTTGTGTCTAAGCATATATCTTCTAGATTCTAATCCTAGTGGTCAGCGATAGGTAAGCTTTTAACCCACTCGCCAATGGTATATGAAAATTCTATTTATATCTTTATGAATCTCGAGAAGTAACCATCCGCTCCAAGGTATTAAAAAAATATTATAAAAAATAAAAGATAAGTAATAAGGAATAGGTATTAATAAAAAAATAACCTCTCAATTTCTTCTTGATATTTTCTAAGCGTGGCATCCTTTGGGTCCTCGTTTATTACCGGTTTGTTCTTTATATTTTTGGCTCTGTTAGTATATCTTTTGTTGAGAGGAGGCAGAGGGGTTAGATATGTTTTAATAATATATTTTTTTATGGCAATGAAAAAGATATAAGGTTGACTATCCCACAAAAATAATGGAATCAACAATACGTAAAAATATATTAAATCGCAGAAATAATAAAATATTGATCAGGGGGGCTGATAATAATGAGAATTACGTTGTGAAGATTCTTATCTATATAATTGACACACTCATTATTAAATAAATAAAAGCAGGAGAAATAAAAAGAAAGTGCTTAATCAAAATTCAACAGTAATAAGGTAGGTTATGGGAAGTGTCGTTATATAACCTAACTTTTGTCAACTCTGTTGTGTTCTGGGCCCTGAGCGCGAGGTCCACGAATGGTAAAATATATCACATAAAAAATCTTTCAAGATATTTTCTTTTTTGCTCAAATTTTTTTGAAGAACTCTGATAAAAATTTATAGCATTGAAAACCTTAATGTCATCAGGGTCTCTTCGTAATTGAAATCGGCTGGTCCTATATTAGCTACCATTATGGTCTTTGAGTTTCCACCCAGAGAATCTTTGACATAAAAAAAAAATTGTTATCTGGTCCTCATTTTATAAATTCCGTTCATTATTTATCTCTAGTTTATTTAATGATTCCATTCCATTTAATTTATTCGTTTTCACACTGATTCACCGCATTTTATTTTATTTCCATAAAATCCACCAGGAAAATGGTGTATATTATAAATACGTACATACTTTGCAAAATTCTGGTCAATTTGCTGTCCCTGTAAGGCACGTGGGAATTTCGACCGTCTACAATAGCGGATATAACATTTCCTAAAGCGCAGAGCGATAAATTTATTTTGGTCGATTCTTTGAACCTTTCTCCCTAAAATTAAGTTTTTTTGGGGGGAGAGAAAAGGCAGAGTTAGAAAATGACTGAAAGAAATAAAGAAAAGTAAAAAAAGAGAATGTTTTTTTTACGCTAGTTCCAGTTTTATATTGTCTTTCGCTGCCAGCCAAATCAACCAAATTCAATTTTCCAACTCTTATATGATTTTTTCCATCCGCATCGTTCTTCATTTTTATATATGATAGATAAAAAAAATTTGTTATATTTTAATATAAGACATTAATTTATTATTCGAATCGTAAATGAGTCGTGATCGTTAACGGTTTTCCTAGCAGTTTTGATATGGTACCGGTCCGTTCCGGTTACTTTATCCACGTTATGAGTTCTACTCTTCGTAAAGCGTACCACTGACGCGATATGTCCGTATAATCAAAAAAAAGAGAAGGACTGATTAACTTTTACTATTACATTAAATAGTCGAATTGTGTTTAAAATTTAGGATAGTACGAAAATAAATCAAAAAAGTGAATGCCGAATTATTGGCACATATCATCGTAACCCTTGCCATTGGCTGTAAACTTCAAATTATATTTTAGAAACTATGAATTTTCCCTTCATTTTTCAATACAGCGCAATAGTAGAGCAATTGCTTCATTCATTCATTTACATATGCTATATAAAAAGTGTCATATTTAAAAGCTTTAGTCTATCTTCCTCGTTTGTATATATTTATACAATGCGACGGTGATTAGGTTGATTAAAATCAAATGTTATAATAAAATAAAGATGAATTTAGAAAAAAATAAATATTATTCTTTAGAGGAAAGTATCATATCTCCTTAGGGAAAGTTTTGTTAATGAAACATGCATTTACATAATTAACTATTTTATGGAGCATTATCCTAAGTTAAATAAACAATATTGAATTTACTAAAACCGTTTTATTTAATGTTCAGTCCAATATTTAAAATTTGCCAATACTAGCCTGTTATTTATAATTAAAAAATTGAATATTATTGTTAACAAGACTATTTTAATAATTAAGAATTTTACAAAAAATTAAATTAATATTTATAAACTGTATCCGAATTAAATCTTAGTATTAACAAAAATATTGAAAACATAAACGAATACATTTTAAATTACAAACAAAAATGTGTGAATTGATTTAAATCTCGATTTCTATTCAAAAAAATAATTATCAATTTAAATCCAATTTGATAATTAGTGCAACTATAGTTGTGTAGCACCATTGGTAATCAGATAACAAAGAAATCATATAATTATTTTGATTCTGTTGTAATAAACCCTTTTTGGAGAGTTATGTATTTAAAAATATAGGTTATTGCACTTGAATCTGGTTCTATAACAATGATCAAGTGACAAAAATGCAAATTCCTGATTGTTAGAATTAAGTCTAAATATCTGATATGCAAATTTTTAGGCTTACTATTCCTGATGAAAGGAAATAAATTATTTTTTAAAAAAAGCAGTGATGTAAATTTGCATTCTAAAAGAACAATTCTAAGTATTTACTAAATTTGCTTTAAAAAAAATTGTAGAGAATATGGAGATTTTTTTTATTTTTAATCACTTTCTGTTATGTAAATAAAAATAAAATAAAATAATGTTTTTAAAAATAAACTATTTTATTTTTAGATTTAAAAATGTTAACCAATGAGATAAGGTAAATCTCTCTTAGGTGTAGTGAAGGTCACAGTTCTGTCTTTGGTCCGGACCAGACCGATGCATTCGGACCGGAATGATGGTCCAGACCTGCCTTTTTATTTTCTTAAAATATTTTCAATTTTATGATAAAAATTAATTTTTGTTTATTGGGACTAAAAGTGAAATGCTTCTTTGAAAAACTTATGGTCTTCATATTGCAAAAATAAAAATGAACTAAAAATTCACAAAAACTAAAATAACTCTTCTAGAAAAATATTAATTAAATAATGAAGAAAAATATTAATAAAAGCTCCGGATCACGGGCCGGACCACAAAAAATAAAAAAACAGGTCCGGACTGTGGTTTTAAAAAATATCGGTTCGTCTATCTGTCCAGTCCGGTCTATGACCGATAGGGTCGGACCGTTGATCTTCACTACCCAGGTGATTATTAAAACTCAGGCCCCAACGAATTCTATCAACTAGTCAAAAATTTGTTTTTAACATGAGCAAAGGGCCAAACTGTTAATGATCACAATTCACGAGTGTTAAGTTAAGGAATGGGACTAAATGAATAATACTTCGCTGCATTCGATTGTGATAATGAAGATTGCATGAGATCTAGAGCTGTGTTCGTTCATATTCGTAGCCCTTAAAATAGATTTATTAAACATATATTTAATATAAATAAATATATTCATATACTTGCAGAAGTACCATTTTCTTTCTTTTAGAGGAAATAAATAAATAAAGAAAAGAGAAAAAGAAAGAGTTTTTTTAAAATAAAACATGTGCGCGGGTATTTATAAAAAGTTTTTTAGGTCTGACCTTGGTATATTTAATAAAATTAAAATAGGTCCGGCCCCTGTACTCGGGCCGGACGGGCCTGCATGTCTATAATATATATAATTTTAAAAGTATAAACCGAACCATTATAAATATGTTAGAACCGTTTAAAATAACTATAATAACGGTTTTTAACATTACATTAATTTATATTTAAAATATATTAAATTTTCTTTAAAATTAAGTGTTCAATGTTTTTTTTAACCCAAATTTTATTTCTTCAATTTAAAAATCAATATTAAAAAAAATTTATATAATGTAGAATTAGTAATATAAATAAAAATATGACATATGTAAAAAAAAATCATCTAATGGGTTGCGTCCATGTATCTTTATATATATATTATAACATTCGACCTCTATACTTTAATGTAGAACTCCTTAAAGTTACGTAGAGTAGTACTAATTAATGGGATAAATTCATGATTCGATAGAAAACATATTAGCAGAATGGGTCGATTAAAAAATCAAACGGATATTAATTTCGAAATCATATTTGTATAAAAGGAAACCAAAACGAGAATAACGGAATACAAAATAGGAATGGAACTGAACGGTCATATATAAAGGTTCGAAACTATTTAAAATTAGAATTATTATTTGCTTCAAAGTATTTTTCTTTTTTTTTTAAAAAAAATTTCATTTTCAGATAACTATTTTTCAATTCAGATTAAAATTTATCTTTTATCTTTTATTTTCAGATAATCATTTTTCATTTTTAGATTAATATCTTTTCTTAACAGAAAAATATTTTTTTTCTTTTCATATAAACATTTCTATTTACCAAGATTTATGAATTGAATATTTAGATATTTTGTATACTAAAATAGAGAGTATAAGAGTATGGCTCTAATAATATAAGAAGCAGTTATTAGATTGTGGGTCAATTTAAGTCATGGTGAAAAAAAATTAATAACAAACTTCATAGATATTAATCAAATATTTTGATAATTTAATATTTATATGGATTGACACTTTAAAACAAAGCGGATATTATGTAATGCCACAAGGAAAAGAATGCAAATAAAAACAATGTAAAATTATTTATTTTATTTTGGCTCAAATAGGTTTTGCCTCTTTAAAATAACATTTTATTCATACGAAAAAATTATTACTGGTTCAGACTAGTGTTGTTAAATGGCTCGTTTTGAACCGCTTTAGAAAAATGGCTAACTATATTTAAGGCAGAAAAAAATTGCTTAAGTCTCCAGATTTCGTGAATAGATGTCTAGACTTTTGTACCATCTATGAGCAAAATCTTCAGGCTTGCATAGTATTTTTCTGTATAAAATACTGAGTTAGCCGTTTTTATAAATAGGCTTAAAATGAGCCATTTAACAACACTAGTTCAGACATTAATAAGGGTTTATAATGGCTTAACAGTTTATTAAGGTTCTCTCCAGGTTCCTGATAAAAATATTCAGAGCCAAAATTAAATATCAATATTTAATAAGGGCAAACTGGAATAATAGACACTTCTTTCTTTCTCCTTAAATTAAAAAAATGTTAAAATTTCATAGGTATTTTATTATGTCAAAATATATAATTTCAGAATAAAATATTTTATTTAAAAGAAAAAATAATCATAATTTAAAATACAAACAAGAAATTAAATCATGATTTTTATTCAAATAAAAACACTGATTTAAATATATTTGATATTATTGGTTTCATCAAGATAATAGTAAAATGTTAAAATATACTACCCAACTGTCCTATTATTGTTTCCCAACATCATGACATTTTGGATTTCTTCCATATTTTTGGTAATAATTGAATGTAACCCCTAGTAAATTCATGCAAAAATATATATAAAATTATTAGGATATTTTCAAGCCTGAAAATTTAATATTGATAAGTATAATTGTAATAAATATTAAAATTAATGTAATCTAGCTGAGTTTAAGATATAATTTCAAGAGGCTAAATGGTTATATGATTTACCATAAACACTTATATATTTTTTTTACAAAGTATCAAATTTTCAATTCAACCTTGATATAGACACCCTGATTCTCATTTGTTCCTTTTTCTCTAATTTCTAGCTTTTTCCTGACTTTATTGGCTGACGTATCCAGTATTGAGCTATCTTTTAATATATTAGAGGCATAAATGTTATTGTTGCTGCTTTTATTGTCATTTAAAGATGTGCTAATCAAGAGATCTCTCAAGTCTTCTTTGTAAATTTCCAAATATGATGCTTTGACAAGATATTTTTTGTTGCTATCATTTTCATTTTCACTTTGAGAAAATATATGAGTAAATATGTGCTCAAAGGACAAAGGAATGACTCCTTTTAATTCAGGTATATTAAGATCACCTAATATTTAGAGAATAAATTATAAATATATGTTATGAGTGACTATACATTAGATATTAATTATATAACTTTATTCAAATTATCCATAATTATAAAACCTTCCATAGTGTATGTTTTTCCAGTGCCAGTTTGTCCATAAGCAAATATAGTACCATTAAACCCATCAAGTACTGAATCTATTAATGGCCTAAAACTTTCATCATATATTTCTTGTTGCTTAGATCTATAATAAAACCTTTAAATAAAATATATTAAAAAAATGATTACTCAGGAGGATAAACAGCATCAAATGTAAAAATTTTATCAGGCTCATTTGATTTATTCCTTTTTAATTTAATCATCCCTCGCTCAGGATGTAATTTTACTATGCTTTAATAATTTTAGTATATAAATAACATTATATTAAACTTTTTATATCCATTATCAATTTCTTTTTTATTCATAGGTCGACACCTAACAATCACTTTTATTCTTTCCGACTTTTCCATACTTTATGAAACCATTTGATTATCACCTTTAACTAAAACTCCTAAAAATATATTCATAATTTCAAATATTTTTTGAAAAATCGATTTTTCTTAAAATTTAAAATAACATATGAGATATATAATATAATATTCCACTATAAAAAATATAAAGTTTGTAGGGGGTGGATATTCGCATTTTTGTACAATGCATATGCAATTCAAAGCTATAGTCACATATTTTAGAATCATCATTGAATATAAATAATAAATAAATCGATAATCACTATATATATAATAAGTTTATATTTAACTACTCTCGTAGATGTGTGTTACAATACAAGAGTAGTATTTATATTTTATTATTTTAATTTTGTTGATTTTATTTATTGTAGTAAAATAAAAATGTATATATATATAAGTCTATTAAAATGCAATGATCCATGTATGGAACTACAGTTGAATTATTAAATTTCGATGGATGTTCTTTGTCTTAGTTTTTGCCCTATCATTTTGAAAAGGTTTGGGGCTTGAAATCCATATAAAGTGCGTGAAAACACCAGATAAAACATTAGGTTGTGTAGAGGGATATATTTATTAGTTTAGGAGTATTATGCTCTCGGGATGTGGAAAAGAATCCGGCAATATCTAACTAGTAAAAGACAAGCAAGGGGTTTACCTCAATACAAAGGATTAGCTAGGGCCATTCTATCGGGTCTAGTTTGACTATCAGGGCGAAAGACCAGAGGGTTCTAATGAGAAAATAATATTTGTTGCTATAACATTCTATTTTTAATTTTAAATTGAGAAAATATAACTCTCATCATATACACAGGAGAGTGGTGGGGGGGGGGTCCGACAACTACCTTTAAAAATTTGAGTTGGGATTTTTTTTTTTTAAATTTAATTCTTTTAATGTTTTACTATACCCATCGATGAAATTTTTAAATCAGACATCATTTTTTACATCAAAGGGAATGGCGGAAAAGTCAATCATTCTTATTACTATTCATTATCATCTTCACCATTATCCGCGTTCGATCCTTGTTGAGATTTCGTCCATAACTATAAATGACTCCCATTTCAATTTGCCAGGTAATGTGAAATATACAATCATTGTCCAGATTTGAATGCCATTATTAGAATCTTAAGCATTCAGAATTGTGATTTTTCCATATATCATATCACAATGTTTTTTCTTTCTTTTAACCATATTTAATCTTTCAAATATTTTTTTTCTTAATAGATTACAAATATTTATTCGTTTTTCTGTAAATATTTCACTATATTAATTCTATAGAATATCAACCTCCTTTAGATATTTTTTCATTTCAAAATTTTAATCTATTCTGATCATTCAGGTTATATTTTTCTTTTTACATATATTCAATTTCAGGAAAATTTTTTCATAGCTACCGAGTTTTCCCATAATTTTTCATGCCATTATCCATGATCCATTTTTCATATTCCGCCATTCTTCCCATTTTAATTCTGCTGGAAAATTGTTATTTCCCCATTCTTCTTTGCCAATCATTATTTATTCTTTTATAACATTTTTTCATTATCATATTCACTAATATTTTCTAGGATATTCCCCTGTTTAAGTGAAACCTAAAACCTTTTGATATGCTTTTTATTAATTCTAAAATTGAGATTCATTTTCCCGAAATTTATTTCCAAAATTATCCATTTCATTTTTTTTACAGGATAATCTCCAGTTCATGCGAAATCTACCCTTTTGGTATGCAAATATTAATTTTAAATTTATTTTGGATTTCGTTATTAACACATTTACCATCCAACCTTCCATAGGACACAACAAAATCATTTCTTTTTTTATTTCCCTACAATCCACCGAAGCATAAAATTCAAAAAATTTATTTATATTATTATTTTTAAACCGGGATTCAGGTTATGCATTCCTTAAATTTTGATTTATAGCATTGTTCCGTATTTAAATCACTTTATTAAATCTTTACGATTTTCCATTTGTCAATGCTTGTGATTTTTCGCATTATTAAAACTTCTTACTTGAGTCTTGGTTAGAAACCACCTCCATTATTACCAGGTATAGACACTCTGCAATTGTCGCTACTGTATCCATCCAACCAGTTCACATCTGGCACAAGTATTTTTTTATTTTTATTATCACAAACCTTGGAATGTGCCCATATTTTCTATTCAAACATCTCAGAATATTGTAATGCTCATTCCTGGTTTATTATTCATGTACGACAAATAAAATAATATTTTCCCTATAGAAACCAATCCTCATAGTATAACTACGCTTATTTTTTAAATTATTTCCCCAATTATTTCTAATATTTTCATCATTCCCTATCCTATTTTTTTTATATATTAAATCATCATATTTTATCACTTTTAATATCTAACGTATTTGTGAGAAATCAATTAATATTTTAATTAAAAAAACTTCAATCATTATTATTGTCAAAATTTATCCAACAATTAATCATGTTCTAAATGATAAAATACAAATATACATAAATTGAATTAATATATTCAAATATTTTTACATTTTATAATCCTTAGACCTTTCGCATAAATTTAAATATAATTCTTAGATATTTTTTATTATGTTGATTCATATTGTTTAACCCTTTATGTAGTTCTTTTTGTATCATGACATCACTTTTGCAATCCTCGTAAATTTTTCAACAGACTTTCCAAACTTTTTATTTAAATAAAAAATAATTTTCAAAATCCACAATAATGTTCCTTTTCCTTTTCCTGTACTAAATAAAAATATTCTCAGATCTTTTACAATAATTCTCATAAAAAAATTGTCTTTTTTTCTTTGATAAAATAAACAAAGTATAAAATTAAGAGTTAATAAAATTACAACACATATATATGTACTAATAAATTATTAATGTTTCCTAAATAAATAGAAAAAATTAAAAATAGGACAATCTAGATCATAAATAATTTTGTGACTCCTTCATACTTTTTATATTTGTAGCGCTGTTAGTAATAAATCTGTGCGATAACTATTATAATAATTTCTACACCTTTGGCCATAAGCGGTTTTTTGGTAATGTTGCCAGCAATTAATTTTTTATTTCCAAAAAAAAATGTTAACTTTTAGAATTTTTTTTTTTTATATAATATAATATTTAAAAAAAAATATCTAGATCCCCATTTTTTTAATCATAAATAAAAAACAAACGGGTTTGATTTTAATAACGAATAAATGTTGTTTTGAAATGTGGGACAGGATTGTTTTATTAGTAAATATTATGTTATAAACAATATATAATTCTAAAATTTAACATTTTTTTTGGAAATAAAAAAAATATTGCTGGTAACATTACCCAAAAACTGCTTTGAAAAAACGTTCTGTCTGGAAATGGCCTTTTAAATATTTTTAATTAGATTTCATAAATATTAGGCAGCTTAAATATTTAATTTCAGATAAATTATTGACTCATTTTAAACATTTGATCTATAATTAACATTAACGCTTCTAGCACTAAGAGGATGAGTTATGCTTAAAAATCGACAATGAAATTGAATATATTATGAATTTCTTTTTTTGTTGTTTCTAATTTCGTATTAAACTTTATTTTTGTTTAGGAAGGTGGGTGGATAGTAATATTGTCATTGGCATAGGGGATGATGATGATCCTGCATTGACATGCCGAAAAAACATATGCATATTTTTATTATGTATTATATCTGATAAATAATACGATATAGAATCGCTATTAGGTGGTGCATAGCTTAATTTGATCTATTACGAGGCTATTTTAATATACTTAAAATCTTAGAGTTTATACTTACATTTTTTCCTATTTTTTTAAATAACCCAGATTAAATTGTTTTGGCTTTATTCTAAAAAATTGTGTCTCATCCACATTTAATAGTAAATTAGACATACTATGTTTTAACAGATTTATTCACAGAAGTCAGATTTAAATCAATATATATCGATTTCTTCCATCATGATTTCTAATTTGTTATTTGTATTATAAATACGAATATAATTGAATAGCGAATGTTTAAGAGATACTCATTAAATGTGTATTATTCGATATTTTTTTATGTTTTAAATTTATATATAAATATATATCTATAGCTTGAGCATAACAAAGCAGTATTTGGCTTACCAACAATTAGTATCGATTAAGTCTTTTTTTGAACAAACCACCAAATAGGATATAAGTTTACTTATTGCGCATTTTTCCTTTTGCATTAAGAAGAAAATTATTTATATAATTTATGCTAAATACATTTGCATGTCCTAAAACCATGACTAAATATATTATTAATAAATGAACTACTTTTTCATTGGACTGCTATAAATACTATAATTCAAACTAATTTTATTTTAAAATCATCTTGAAAATAACTACATCTTAAAATTATTTCAAGGATATAAAATATATTATTTACTAAGAAATATTTTTTTTTACTTAGAATAAAGTAAAACTTAAGCATAAGGAGCTTAACTTATAGAAATTATATGATATAAAAATGAAATTCGTAAAATACTTAATTTTCTTGTGTCTTCTTCTATTATCCATTATTCAAAGTAAGCCCAGAATAAATAATTTTTGAATATGACAATTTTAAGACATATAGTGTTATAGCAAATTTATATTAAATATATATGTGGTAATATTCTAGAATAACGATCTATCATGAATCCCTATGTGGGATTCAAAACTATTCATCATCTACAAGGGCCGTTTCTTATTTTAAATGATTATTATCGTTCAAAAATATTAAATTTATATTAAAAATATAATATATAAATTAAGAGTAGTTTGAAAGTTCACTGCATACTTTAAATTCATAAGGTTTGTATTGGAATATATATCCCGTACAATTAGATTTTAATTTTCTTTTTTAAATCATATTTTTATTTATTTTTAAATTTTATAAATAATTTAAGCCTAGGTTTTATGTCAGATTAACAACTAAATTCTTTCATTTTTATTTAAAATTTTTGTTGTTAAATTTCCATTCAAGAATGTTAACCTAATTAATATTGAATAATCAAGATATATTAATTTATATTCTTATTCTTTCATATTATAATTTACTTTATATATGATATTAAGTCAATTGTGCATATTTTTTTAGATAAAGATAATTTACCCTGCCTTGGCCACAATATGAAACATTACTTTAACCAATAAAAAATTAAGGTTACAAAATCTAAACTCGGTAAATTGTGTCCCAACTCAAATATTTCCTCAATTGTGGAATAATCGTGGGCAGTCCCGAACCACGCAGCCATCTTTAAGAAAAAAATGGGAAGTTATCTGACTAAACCTGCTAAAACAAGATGGAACTCTTTTTATAACTCAATGAAATTAATAATCTTATTAAGGAGCATACCAATTCGAATAATCTTGTGCCAACGAATTGCAGACATTTTTAGATAAGGACAATTCGTTCATATATATATATTGTATGGTTAGTGTTGAAAAAATATATGTAATATTATTTTATATTTTATGTAACCTGTTGCTATGGTTCTTTTGATTTTAGACTATATGGGAAATCAAACTCCCACGATATAGCTTCAAATAATTTCAAGTTTTGTAAGCCATTTATCAATGCAATATCGAAAGACATAGATGAAAGGTATATAGTAGAAATATTGTTTATAATTTATACTTTGACTATATTTATTTTCAACGAATACGTCTATAAAATTGAATATTTACTATCATCAGCAATAATTCACCCGCTACTTAAATTAGATTCGTCCTGGATAAAATTATAGGTCAACGAAGATAGAAAGCTTGAACCTATTTCTAGTTTAGAAAAATATATTGACAAAGACAAAGCAGTAATTCCTTTAAAAAACAACACACATACCAGATTATTTTCTGATAAAGATAAATAATCAGGCGTGATTTATTGTGAAACTTCCGAAGATGGTCTAGGAGCTGTTATCGCACACCGATTTTTTACAAGCCTGGAGGCTACGAGCTTTCGAAGACACCTTCTGTGTTTGCTATCGAGAAGTTCCATTACTATATTTATGGAAGATATTTTATTTTGGTTAAGGATCACAAACCTTTAAAATATATCTAAACGATATATTAAATCACAAATAACCTTTAAATACGGTGGGCGACGATGCTATTAAATTACCACTATGAGATAAATCATAGACTTTGTAATCGAAACAAATGTGCCCTCTGACCCTTTGGGGGTAGAGAGAGAAAAAACTAATAAGGTTTACAAAAAAAATTCGAAGATGAAAACAGGGAAATAAAAATTAATTTAAAAGAAGATTTATCTTTCACTCGTAGCTAAGTCATATGTAAAACGAACGATGATATCAATCTGAAAAAGATTATTAAAATCACTGGTATATTGATATTATAAATAATTCTTCGGAGATTTTAAAAAAAATAATTTTTTCTTTTATAATGATAGGATTATTATCCCTGATGATTAAATAAGGAGGTTTTGAATGTTATTCATCAAGGACATCCGGATAAGGGGATAAAATCATTATTTAGATACTATGTTTTTAGACAAATCTTGATTGAGATGTTGAAGATTTTGTTAAATGCTAAATACTGCAAGAGTTGTCAGGAAAGAAGACCGGGAACCAGAGAAGTGCCGTTATACAAAGGAACTTTCCTAGCCGACCTTGGGAACAAATACACATTGATTTGACAGGTCGAGTATCTGGAAACTATCGGTTAATTTGGGGTGCCTTCACCAAATGGGCTGAAGTTGCAATTTTAAGACATATTAATTTGGTGATTGCAATAAATAATCTGCGTAATTATTTCGCTAGATTTGGGTACCTCACTACATTGTTTCATATAACGGCACTCAGTTTACTGGATCTGAATTCAAAACTTTTAAACAACATGAAACATTTTAGATCGGCCTCTTATAACCCCAAATCGAATGGTTTAACTGAGTGCTATCGTACTATAAAGAGGCACGTTTCTATGCTAGAAGTATGTGTGGGACTTTGGACCAGTTAAATTTAGCGAATGTTTTAATTACTCAATATTTCAAACTACCGGTAAATCCCCTGCCGAAATGACGTTTGATAGGCTCAGGACGACGTTAGATTAGTGGGAACTATCTACGAGCTAAAGGACTGAAAAAGCATTATGGAAACAAAAATATTATAAAGATAGGAACTTTGAGCACCGTAAATATGAAGAGAAGCAAAAGGCTTGGGTAAAAAACGAAAGAACTGCGGGATGGCATGGAGGGTCAGTGGATCAATGGAAAATATTGTATGATGTTAAGTTTGAGGGTATTGTAATAAAAATCATGTTAACCAACTTAACTAAAGAAATAAAATATCCATAACAATAACGGTAGATTTGGACAATGCAGAACATAATAGAAATACAACTCAAAAACATGTAATTGAATATACACTAAACAATAAAATATAGGCTCTCTATTACACGAGGTTTTACAGTACGGGTAATTCCACTTGTTTTGGTGATAAACAAAAATATTATTACATAATAAAATTAAAATAATTAAACTTAAGTAATTTATAAAAAAGGTCAATAATAATTACGCCTCAAGCTCTGCAGGTCATCTGGAGCAGGATTTTGGCCATGGACGTACTATTACACTGCTGCGGATTGAATATAAAAAAATCTAAAAAATAAATATATTGGTTTTTCACTTAAATTGTAGGTAAAAGATTATTTATATTTATAATGATTATAAAGAGATGAATATGTGACCTGGCCCATGCAAATTTTTTAAAATAATTTAAAGATGAAGCCATTTCATTCCAATTTTTAGAAATTATATAATGTAAAATAAAAATTTAATTTTTTGAAAATAAATTTAAAATGGATAAATATCATATAAGAAATTAATATTAGTATAATAAAAATGAAGAATATTATAATGATGATTTTAACCAAAAATATCAGTCTTGTTAACGCTCCTTTTTAAAAGTAGCGACTCCCGCTCCCGCTCCTACCTTCTCAAAAGGAGCGAACTCCCGCTCCCGCTACTACATATTAAAAGGAGCGCTCCCGCTCCAACTAATGGAGTGCCGCTCCATAACCGCTCCTTTGATTTTCATTTTTTTAGAAGGTACACGAAACAAAATCATATTTTTTTATCAAAACGTTTTATTTATATTATATGATATATCAAAATATTTATAATCTTTTATTAGCTTTTAAAAGTAATAAATTTTCTAAATTAGAATCTAACAAACACCCACGCTTCTCCCCTAAGACCTGTTTTGCGATACTAAATAGGCGCTCCACAGGAGCACTAGAGGGAAGCGGGGTATTGTATTTAATATAAATATTTTTTAATTCATGGAAATGTTCAAAAATAGTAATATTGCTATCATTATTTAAAAAATATCTATCCAATATATTATTTTCATGATAATCGATTTCATGGAATCCAAAGAAATCTTCCAAATCATTACAAGGTTCCCGTGAACTAGTTGTAGCTATTTTTCCGTTGGGTATTTGTGTCCTTAAAAAATTAATTAATCTGGCTTTTAGTTCCATATTTTTTGGATCTTTTATCCATTACCAATTTATATATCTATAAAATGAATATTAATATGACTTACAAGATTTTTCAAAAAATTTTCAATATAAAAAGGAAAAACTGATGTTTAATGTTTCAAATGATTAGATGAAAAATCAATATAAAACTCGGCTCAACATTTAATAATGAATAAATTTAAATAAAATAAAATTTTATTTTCATTAAATTTTAATTAACAAATATTATTAATATTTAAAAAATAATATAATTTATATATTAAATTTAAATCCAGCCCTAAAAGGAGCTACTCCCGCTCCCGCTCCTCATTTTTAAAAAGGAGGGGCGATCCAGCTTTTTTTTAAAAAATGTAGCGGCGCTCCGGAGCGCCGCTCCTTAACAAGACTGAAAAATAAAGAGAAATAATTATTATAATAATGAATATAAATTTTCAACGTATGAACGAAACATAATTCATATAATAAAAATGGGATCATATGTGAAAATAAATTGGGATCATATAAAAAAAATAAAAATGTAGAAATTATTCATTGAAATAGAAATGAATATTATCAAGAATATCATTAAATTATAATGTTTAAGGAACTTAAAGAGATTATTATAGAAAATATTAAAATTACATTAACCAAAGTATATGTGTATATGTATAGTATTAGTGAAATTAAGCGTCTATAAATTATTAAGAAATTTCAGTGATTATGAAAATAAATGATGATAAAATAAATAGAAAATTAAAGTTGATAAAAAATTGATAAAAGGTGATATATTCCTAAAATCAAAATAAAATATATAAAATTAAAAAATACGTTTGAGATTAACGAAATGTTTGAGAGAGGTAACACAAAATGAATTTATTTATGAAACCTGGTAAAGGAGAATAAGTTTGATATGATATTATTTAAATTGAAAAATAAGGGTGTAAAGGGTGATCTACATCGGGCTTAATTTTTTAAGCGCGCCCTGGTTCGAAATTTTTAAAAAAGAATTTGTCGGGCCCGGCCTTATCCAGAATAATTTTTTTTTATTTGTACCCTAAAGGCGGACCAAAAATAAATTATTTGTCCTGCCGGCCTGGCTGGCATTTATTTAAATATAGAAAAATTAGCGCCTTGTTTCTTGAATGAATTATAAAATATATCAATTTATTTGACATAAATGTAATGATATTATATTCAAAATTTTAAAGCCCATCCTGGCCTAAATTTTTTTATAAATATCGACCCAGTAATAACTGAAATTGTTTAAAAAAAATAAACTCAGCCCTTATACAAATATTTGAAATTAAATTAATTAATAAATCATACTGTTATCCTTTATTCCAAGGGTGGATATGGGTCTGCTAATCCCAGGTTGACAATTTCTAAGGCGCTTTCTTGATCAAGATAATGATCAGTAGGGATTAAACTAAGAGAATATAATAAATTAAATTAAAAAGTTATATATAAATTTTCTATTCTTTTTCATCATGATTTATAATTTGATATCAAATTATTTTGTTATTTTTATTCATAAATTGAATAAAGAGTAATTCTTTTGAAAGATACTCAGTAAAAGAATATTATTTCTTTAATGTAATAGAATCAATAAGCCCTCACCAATTAATACGCTATGCTTAGATTAACTTATTACTTTGATAATTTGTACTATTAACGAAATTATTTAATAAATTTTAGGCAAAACAAATTTACATATCCTAAGCCAAAGTAATCAATAAGTAGACCTTTTTTGTTAGCCAACTCTAGCCTTACTCAAACTTAAAATTATCTTGAAAATACCTATAAATTAAAACTGTTATAAAATTAGATTGTTTACCATTAAATATTTTTTTATAGAATAAATTGTAAATGTTATATAAGGAGCTGAAGCCAAAAAAATTATAATATTAAAAAATGCGATTTGTAATAGACCTAATTTTTTGGTGTTTTTTTCTATTATCCTAAATTCGAAGTAACTGAAATTTAAATTGATAAATGTTGAAATTTTAGAATATATGTCTGAATATTTGTAAATATCTGACATTTTTCTGGAAACGATTACTGGAATATTCGCATGAATTTTCGGAAACAATAAAAATCGTATACAAGGGCGATTTTTAATTAAATTTTTTTTTTACTTTACTGGAAATTTATTGTAGCATGAGTTACCTATTCACTATAAATTTAGGAATTTTGCCAAATATGTGTGTGGATTTTAATTTATATAAAACAAATGGGGCATATAAATTTAGCGTTAATCTTAATATTGGCTAGAATTTGCAAGATCTGTAATATACAGATGCTAAAATACATTTCCGGTAATTCGATAAAAAAAAATGTAAATGATTTAAAATTGAGAAATATTAGATCGTTATTCCAGAAAAACATATACATTATATTGTTTATATAAGTCTCAATTAAGACAAAGGATTTAGTTTTGAGATAATTTTAACTCATTTTATATATTATATAAGTGATGACAGCTGGAGAGGCTTATAGAAATATCTTAACTCACTGAGAAAAGATCATGCAGATAACTATCTAGAAAATCGTCTAGTTCCTCGTCTAGGAAAATGATATTAACAATTTAATTGTTTTTTGAACTCTTTATCACAATTATTCTTATCATGTACATTCGAATAATAAATATATTTCCTTTTATCATCAAATTAATTTAAAATTCATATAATACACTTTTTTAATCATCAATTACTTTTTTATATATTCGCATTTATATCGAAATTTAAAACTTTTACATTTATACAATAAGCTAAAATTCGATATAACTAAATTATATACTTGTTATATATATTTATTTTAAGTTTTAGTTTTATTTTAATGATATTTATTTTAGTTTTAAAGTTTTAATATCTTGATGATTATAGAATGTGTTAAATACATTATTCTACGACCACACCTATTCTCTCTTTATATAACAGTTCACTAATCTATAGGGTCATAAGTTTTAAATTCCTAATTACAAATTGTTTGGCTTCTTAATTTTTTTAAAATTGGGCATTTGAAAATTTACGTCTTATAGGTCACTATGAGTCACTGACGTGAGGTATAAAATTTCTAATTTTGAACTGTGATTTCAATTTTTTCCAAAAAAATCTGCGTGCTTAGGTGTGAATAGAAATTTTGCACTAAATTTTTATTTTAGGAATATATAAATTTTCTATTTAATAATAATAAAAAATTATTATCTAACTCAATTTCTTAAACATCACCGTCAAAAGCGCACTTATTTAATCATATTTATAAGTTAAGTAAAAGGTTTTGTCTATTGATAATGTACAACATTTATTTAGAAATTAAAGCAAAATTCTTAAAATTTAAAGAGGCACTCAGTAAATGTATGTTCTGATATTTTTATGTCTTAAATTTATGAATAAATATATATCTATAGCTAGAGTATGTTATATGGTTAGAATAAATGATACATAGCGTTATTTGTCATAAGAAATTTGCTAAATAACACCCGAACTTTGCTAAAATGCAATATAATCCATATATTTTTTAATATATTTTAATGGAATTACGTGGTCGACTCCGTTCGGTATATCATTCCCCGTCACACTGAACTTTAATTTTAGGAAAAATTTTGATACCTGCTGAATTCAAACCCAGAAATATTGGTTTAGTGATACACGTAGTCACTGACTCTACTCAACAAATTTTCTTATATTAAGGATATAATTGTGATGCTATCTAATATTTTAATAAAGCAGATAAAAACGTTTCAACACTATGCATTATTACCCATAAGAAACTTCAATAAATAGTACTGATTAAAAAATTTTTTAACACCAATTCATACACCTGACAGTCTAATATATATTTTTTTTTTTACATGAATAAAATTATATAATTTATGCATAAACAATTTACATGTCTTAAAGCCACTTAAATATATTATTAATAAATAGACAATTTTTTCATAAGTCAATCCCAAATAATCATTACTTAAACGAATTTTTTTCTAACATCATTTTAATCTATAGACTAAAATTGTTTCATGGATAAAAAATAGATCGCTTACAACAAATGATTTTTTTTACATAGAATAAATTATAATTGCTATATATAATAAGTTGAAGCTAACCAATTATAGGATTTTAAAACCGAATTTATAAAACGCTTAATTTTTCTATGCCTTATTCTATTTACCCTTAATTTAAAGTAATTATGAATATTAAAATTTTAATTTATATGGTTTTAAATTAAAAAGCGTTGTCTCAAGTTTATTTGCTATAACATATCCTGAATATCAATTTTAAGAATCTATTTTGAATCATCTATTATGGTCATTTTTAATTTTAAAATAATTTAAATTTGACGGAAATGTATTTTAGCCTTTATACCATATAAATTTCTTTTTTGATAAGATAAAGAAAATTTTAATTCTATATTATTATAAATCCTTATATAAATTTAAGAGGGCTGTTGAATTAGTCGAGGAGAGGCCTCTTGATAAATATCTAAACTCAGAGGGAGATCATAGAAACAACACCTTAGGAAATCTCCCAGTTCCACGTCTAGAAAATGATATTATCAATTAAAAATATTTTAAAATCTTTATAACCATTATTTTTTCAAATGTTTCACATTTTTATCAGCTTGTTTATAATGTTTATATGATTAATAGTTTTGAATTCCTAATTTTAAAGTCCTGGATTGGCTTTTTGATAATATTTTTTTAGAGGTAGGCATGGCCTTTTCTCACCACACGATAATGGGTCATGACGACTACGTGAAATATGAAAGAATCTCTAATTTTGAGTGGTGACCTCAGCGTGACTGTTTTTTTGGAAAAAAAATCACTAAGCCTAAAAATTGTCTGTTCTTAGAGATATATTAATTTCAATTAATAATTGTAATATAAATTTAATAATTTTAGGTAAAGTTATATGGTCTGTGAAAATTACAATCTTATCATAGGCAGCTATTTTTTCCCTCAAAACTATATCCAAAACCAATTTTTTTTTGCAAAATTTAATATTCACAAATTTAGTCAAAAATTTTAATAAACATAAATTTTTTAATTCCAAAAATTTTTTTTCTGACATGCATTTTTTTTTTATAGAAAAGGATTATTTTTTTTATTTTCATTAAATTTTTCTTGTCTATTTATTATCCCAACTATTTTTTCTGAAAATTATTTATATTTAATACTATTATGTAAGTAATATATAATTTAATCCATAATAGGATATATGATTAGTACATTTATTTAGTTTATTAAGGCCTGCTGTAATGTAATATTTAAAGTTAATCCATTATTGGAATTATGACTACAAATTGCAACTATAAGGTTAATTAGACCCATATGGTGTAAGTTATAGTTAAATTAAAATTATAATCACAAAAGACTAGTATGAAGAGCTCTATTGATCCCCCACCCCCACCTCTTTTTTTATGCGTTAGCATATTAATTATTGTTATTTCTCCTTTTCCCCATGTAACATACTTTTTCTCTTTTAAAATTTTATTCTATGCATGTAGTAATGTTATATTTATATATTAATGGACTTTTTATTGATAATATTATATTAACTGTTTTTATATTATTTAACGGCTGTAAATCAAATATTTAAAGTATCGATAATTGTAAAAGTTAATTTATTTTCTTGTTGAAATAATATTCAAATGTTTTTTATAAACAATTAACTTATACCTTGATAAATTGTAATAAACATCATTATTTTATTAAGAGTATATAGCAGAGACCTGCAGTGGTACCATTTGCACGGCCCGGCCCGGTTTTAAATTTTAGGCCCGGCCCGGATATTTAAAAAATTTTTTACGGCCCGGCCCGGCCATATTTAAAAATTTAAGGCCCGGCCCGGATATTTTTTAAAACGGTTTCTACGGCCCGGCCCGGATTTAAAAATTTAAGGCCCGGCCCGGATATTTTCTTAAAAAAAATTTCAGGCCCGGCTCGGAATTTTTTAAAATTATATTCGACCTGGTATATACAAAATTCACCTTGAGGTATTTTAACATATTTTTCAGCGAGTATTATCGCTTATTATTTAAAAAATACATGTAAAAAGCTAATATTTTGAGAATATTATAATGAATTTATAAAAATTATAAAACTGTTATTTATAAAAATGGATATTTTGAGCATATACTATATTTTATATTGCATTTATAAAAATAAAACTAATATTCATAAAAATGGTAATAATATTTGTCATATACTATATTTTATATTACATTTAAAAAAAATAAAACTAATATTTAATTTATAAAAATGGAAAATATTTTGAGAATATAATATATTGTAATTAATTTACTATTTAATTTATAAAATAAAAATAAATCGCTATTTAAAAAAATGCATGTATAATAAATAGTATTTCGAAAATATAATCTAATTGCACAATATTAATATAATTTATTTTATAATATAAATTTTTAACA